TGTTAACGTGTGGTTGCTGTAATACCTGCTGGGTGATTTTTGCAGGTCATCCTTCAGACACTGCTTATAAAAGCAGAGGAAAAACTGAAAGATGGAGAGCGAATCCTCAAAGAGCGTGAGAACATCGATTCCACCATGGCAGTGAGTACACATATTTATCTGTGCAAAGGAAATCTAATGACTCATGAAGCTGTTTGTACCAAAATCACAAGTCATGTGGTTTGATTGTGTCTCAATCACTGATCTGCCAGCAATCGAATACTCTGTCCTCATTGGTTCCAGGATTCTCTGAAGCAGGATGATGCCCAGGTGGAGCAGCTGGGCTCAGACCTGCAGGTCCAGGTCAACAAGCTGGTGGTGGCACTGAGAGACATCACCAAGAAGGAGAGGCAGCAGGTCATGGATCGTGTGCATGAAGACTGCTCCAAAGTGAGGGACCACATCCACCACACCCTAAGAATCCAGCACTATCTGGCCTTACTGCTGTCAGAGACAGACCCTTTCCTGCTCATCTGGGTGAGTGTAGCATTAAGTTTTTCCAGAACTAGGTCATGCAAACGAAACTAAATGATAGCTTAAGACAGGATGCACCAGTTTCCAGTAACGATCCAGTCCAATCTCTGATTGGGAGATTAACTGTTGTGCGACTGCAGAATATCATTTTTAGCCAAGGAAATCCACCACTGTAGTCCTGACTGGAATATGCTGCAATACCGTACACTTAATATACACAGTGGCCAGAGAGTGAAGCTTTACAGCAGATCACACATTTGGCATGGGTGCATATTAGGGTGATTTGAAAATGCAAAAATGTAGAAATGTAGGAATTTATAGAAAAAAAATCTACCTGAGCACATTCACATTCACACAGACAGCTGCTTTTCATTCTGTTGGTGCATTTTTCTCAGCTGTCCTTGACTTTTCTTTTCGCAGGCCTTTCAGTCAGATGACACAAAGTAAGTCCAGAACAAAGCAGTCAGACTGAATTAGGACTCGTCCTGAGCTGTGTTATGTTGACGTGTGTTTTGGTTGTCATGTTAGGGAGTGTTATTGCAGTGGAAGCTCGAGAGAAAAGAGAGATAGAGAAACAATGAAAGACACAAAATAATAAAGGCCTTATTTTATTTGTGCTTTTGATTTGTAGGTTATTAGCTGAGCTGAACAGTCCACTTTACATCCCTGAGCCCATCAGCGCAGACAGGAAGCACATTCTGCAGGACATCGAGAGCAAGTACCGCGAGTTCATCACTGCTACCCTCCGCTGTCTCAGTGACCTCAAGAGGGAACTCTGTGAGTGGAATGAATGCGTGACGCTTACCTGCCCCGCTAATGATTTTAAAGGAATAGCTAGACATTTTGGGGAATGAAGCTTGTTAGCTTTCTTGTTGAACTTCAGAACTTAACCCACATGTCAGAGGTGCTCTGTGTTAGACTGAGATCTGGTGACTGTAGAGGCCATTTGAATTCCAGTGTAATGTTCAAGAAACCAGTTTGAGATGATCTGAGTTCTGAGTGACATGGTACATCATCCTGCTGTAAGCAGACATCATAAATTAAATGGCATTTAAATAATGCTCAGTTGGTCTTAAGGTGAGGCTCCAGAGTGCAGTCATTTACATATTCAACTAAGAAGTGAAAGGTCAGATAGATAGATAGATAGATAGATAGATAGATAGATAGATAGATAGATAGATAGATAGATAGATAGATAGATAGATAGATAGGACCAATGGCATCTTTGGTATGATGGACTGTAAGCAGTCTTCTATGTATGTAACTATGTAACACCTCTGTAGTATACGACCTGATTTTTCTTGACATTGTTTGGAGTTCATGTTTGATAAAACCTAAAGGATGTGTTTGTGGGTGTTTTCATTAACACGTAGATGTCATTAGCAAATATTTCTCAGTTGGTTTCTATGGTTCACTGGAGGACACACTTGCCGACACTCAGAGACTGACAGCTTGAGCAAACAAAACAAAAGCTTTAATAAGATGCTGCTGGTAACTTACAAGAGTCTACGCAAATTCAAAAGCAGCAGACAACAAAATCCCAAATAAGGACACAAAATCTTAGCTGGCACTAAAAACAGGAAGACAAACATAGTGATCAACAAAAGCGGGGACCAGAGGAGCGCAGACAAATACAAAGGTAGAGACATGAAGCTGAATACACCAGCAATCTGTTTAACAAACTCTGAGTCTAACGCTGACCTCTAATCCCGAGAAGAGAAACTCAGTTTTGAGTCCAGAATAGCAAATCGGAGTCAGTTCAACTCTAAATATGTTTGCCTTGAGCTTAATAAAGAAAGCATCATCAATGGAGTTAAAACCATGATGAACCATCTATGAATGTGTTGAATAAATAGCAGATGATGTTTATGTTAAAAAGCACAAGTTTAATGACCTGAAATTTTCTTCTTTGGGTTATGAAGTTGGAAACATCATGTTTGTAATGTTTAAGTTTAAATATATTTATTCAGATGTAACACAGTGGGGACAAAATGAAGGTGACAGCAATTGAGGATGTAGGTGTGGCTCAAAAGCATATATTTATAAATCTCTGTTTTGCATTTTAAAAGTTCTGTTTTGCTCCATAGAAATGGGCGAACAAGTTTAAGTACTACGAGGAAAGTGACTAAGATTTATCTCTCTCCTTGCAGTAACCAGTCCCTTGAGTCTGGACACAAACGCAGCTCATCCTCTGTTGAGCATCTCAGACGACCTGCGCTCAGTTACACGAGTTAAAAACCGCCTGCCCTGCGCTGCTCATCCCGAACGTTTCGACCACTGGCCGCAGGTCCTCACCGTCCAGACCTTCTCCTCTGGGACTCACTACTGGGAGCTGGAAGCCGAGGGATTCTGGGATGTGGGCATCTGCTACCGAAGTATTGGACGGAAGGGCAAAGAAGGCAGTGCATTTGGGAACAACAAGGTACAAGTGTGCCGCAGAGCCAGAGTGGTTAATCACACTCGTTCCAGTGTTAGATTTTGTGTTTTCTTTGCTAACTAATAGAATGAGCAGGAGCCTCTGTTTGATGCCTGTCCCTGACATCTCTCAGTCTGTTTGGCATCAGTGAAAAAGATGATTTTTTTTCCTTTGAACACCTCATCATTCATTCAGTCAGAGTAAAGCAGTAAATTTGGCCTTGAAAAGTGAACCTTCTTTCTATTTTCCTCTGGTGCACTAAAGCAGTTCAACAATTGTATTCCAGTTCTATTCTTTCCTAGTCTATTCTTATGTGTACGTTTAATTTTATGTTTAGGTTTTTTACTAATATCACTGCCCTGATTTAACTGTCAGTGATCAAAGCACATTTTGCAGAAGGATGAGAACATTTACAGTGATACCTTCCTTGTCAACCACATGCAATTTAAGATATAGCCAATACTTTCTTGGAACGCTGCAGTGATTTTCGCTCAACTTAAAATATAAATCAGTTACTAAAATTATCGCCAGATCAATTTCCCCCACATCAGTAATTGTTTGATAGTAACGTTTCAGCTGAAATGAAAACATCTTCCTTGATTAAACCTCTTGTAGGTTTCATGGAGCTTGACACAGCAGCACGATAAAAAGCTAGCCGCCTGGCACAACCGCAGGAAGACCCGCCTCACATACCAAATGACTGGGAACCGCGTTGCTGTAGCCGTGGACTACAGCTCAGGCACCATCACCTACTCAGAGGTGGGACCGTCTAACAACCTGATCCACCTCCACACTTTCTCCACCACCTTTACTCAGCCGGTGTGCCTGGGCTTTGGACTCTACAAAGCTGAGCTCAACAGTCGGATCACTATTGTTAAAGTCTGATGTGATGAAAAAGACAGCTAGGAGGATGATGATGATGAACTCTGTGCTGTTTTGGCCATTCCAAAATAAAGTGCTGTTGTTTTTCTCCCGTCTGTGTAGAGTGAGTCTTTGCCATGAGCTGCTGTTTCTCTGCTTCCTGCTCTAAAACAGTTTTACCTCTTCCTCGCCAAAGAGACAAAACTGTGTCTTCTAAAGCTGCGATCAGCTGGCATGTGAAAACATTTCCAGAAGACACCCAAAGGGAATTTGATACTTCCCTAAACACTAGATGGAAAGGCTCATTTTAAAGGGGACCAATTATGTTCATTTCCAGTGTTGGGCAAGTTACTTTGAAAAAGTAATTAATTATAGTTACTAGTTACTTCAAAAAAGTAACTGTGTTACAATATTCTAAAAGTAATTCGTTACTTTAGTTACATTGTTCAGCACCTTGATTCCACAGCAATTAGAAATAAGGATGGTCTTTGTTTATAAAGTAATGTAGTTATAGAAAAGCTGGAAATTTGTTTGGCTGATATTAATAAGATAAACTTGAACCTTTTTTCTCACTCCAGCCTTTCTTAAACATCTCTGAAGCTCTACCTCTGTTTTGTGATTTCCTGTTTGTATCTAAGAGTGTCTAGACATTAAGTGCACGATCAAAGAAAAACACAAAAGCAGCATCTTTATGGATCAAACGATGCTGCGGATCGAGAAATCCAGCTCTATTTACCACATGGATAAAGACCTTGAAATAAATCTCGCTGTCTTGAAGATGACGAAGGATCTTTTGATTCTTGTGAGGAGATCAATGTTTTGTTTGGGAATTACAGGGGGGGGGAAGGGGAGAAAATTGCCACTCACTTGCTAACTTTGCTCTTTGAAGCTGCTCACACTTATTTATCTTTTATGTTACTGTAAACGTGAGTGGGCGGATGCAGCATAAAGGGTGAGAACGAAGCAGATGGAAAGGAGGGAGAGAGAGAGAGAGAGAGAGAGAGAGAGAGAGAGAGAGGGAACAGGGAGATAGACAGAGAGATCAGAGCAGTCTCTATCTTGGTTGTGATCAGCCATGCTGTGAATTAATGTGACAGAGGAGCGGGACAACAAGGATATTTCAGTCCTTCAGATATGGAATACACGATCCTTTGCATGGGAACAGGTGATCCTCTGTTTATTACTTTTATTATTCTCATAATCTCATAATTTTGTAGTCAGATCATGTTTAGTCACTGTTGATGAATAGCACAATGAATTGTGTTATTCTTTGAATGAGGAAGCATGATGCATTTGTCTCTGAATAACTTTGTTGAAGCTTAGAAGGAAATGTTTTCACCCTGTTGCTGATTTTGCACAGATAAATGGAGGTTATTTCAAAAATGCTACACTTTGAAATGCCATAGGAGGCGTGGGGGGGGGAGGGCTTTGCATTTTACTCATTTCAGTGAGCTGAACCAACAGAAAGTCTTTCGAACCTGCAGAGAAGATGAATGTGTGTACGTGCGGCTGCAGCGTGCGTGAGTGTGCGCAACAAGAGGCACAAGTGGGAGAAACAGCGAGCGTGTGTGGCAGACAGATGGTCACTCAGTGGAGTTGTTCCCCATCTCTCTCTCTCTCTGATTCCCTTCTGGGTCCTACATCCTCCCCCTTTGTCACCTCTCCAAAGTCTTACCTCATCTTTTTTTTCCCTCTCTTCCACACCTTTTCCGCCCTCGTCTTCATCGGTTAAGCCCGGACTTGGATCCTCACTCACCGTGCCGCCCCTTATCTTTTCTCTGTCTCTCCCTCTCTTCCCCTCCTCAGCTACATCTCCGCTTATTTTTTGCTGACGACATCAACTTGAAAATATCAAGAGCTTTTTTTTTCTGAGTGTCATTCTGGACCCTGTTGACACAGCACAAAGGACACTGAAGAGATTTGGGGATTTGTGTGGGGGTCAAAAAGGGGGAAACTCGAAAGAAAAGACTGACAGATATGACCAGCAAACCAATCTGAGTCAAAACCGCCTTGAAAACATAAACTAAATTAAAAAAACAACACAAAACAGGTTTTCTTTCTGTTCTGATATAGAGTGTTTCTTTAGCCGTAGCATGTTTATTTATTTTGCAGATTGCCCAGAGTGACTATTGTCCTTAGAAATTAGAGATATTTGACTTAAAAAACAAAACTCAGGTTCAGTCATGCACCTCGGGTCAGTCCACCCTGACATCCTGCTCCTCCTGGGCATGCTCCTGTTGTGGGGACCTTTGGGATCCAGGGGCCAGAATGACACAGAGCCCATCATCCTCGAGGGGAAATGTTTGGTAGTGTGTGACTCTACGCCTTCGTCCGAGCCTGCCGGAAACGCCCTGGGCATGTCGGTGCGCTCTGGCTCGGGTCGGGTGGCCTTCTCTGCCAGCCGCCAGACCAACCACGAGCCGACAGACATGAGCAACCGCACCATGATCATCTACTTTGATAATGTGAGTTATCAGATATCTATGTTTATTATGCCCATTTGTAGCAAATTGTGACAGGTTTATTTTTTACATTACAGAATGGGCAAACACACAAAAGGCTCTGTGCTATCATTTTGTCGTCAGGTGTCTTCTCCCATTGGGCGTGATAATGAGCTGATTGCTAAACTTTTGAACCTGTAGTGAAGCCACATAATGAAAACATGGTTGGATTATGCTGCACAAGCTGCATGTCCATGGACATTTTAGAGGGAGGGAGGGATGTATGAAAATAGGTCTCAGTAGTTTGGAAGTAAGCAATCTGAACAGACGAAAAGAATGACCCATGTCGTGACTTTATCATCCCCCGTCTTTTTCCTGCTGTCTGTTCAGATTTTGGTTAACGTGGGCACTCATTTTGACCAAGAAAGTAGTGTGTTCCTGGCACCAAGGAGGGGGGTGTACAGCTTCAACTTCCATGTGGTGAAGGCCTACAATAGACAAACTATTCAGGTACGCCCACTCGACTCTGAGACTCATAGCTGTCGTTCCGGTGGATCACTCTCTTAATCTCGCTGGTTCCCATCTCTTAGGTTAGCCTGATGGTGAACGGCTGGCCAATGATTTCGGCATTCGCCGGGGACCAGGACGTGACCAGAGAAGCCGCCACCAATGCCGGCCTGGTGATTATGGAGAAGGGCGACAAGGCCTACCTCAGACTGGAGAGAGGCAACCTGATGGGAGGCTGGAAGTACTCCACATTCTCAGGCTTCCTGGTTTTCCCCTTGTGAGAAAGATAGAGGGTTGAAGCGCCGCAAAGTGAGAATGATTGAGAGAAAAAAGGGGAAGAGGTGGTGGGAGAAAAGAAAGGCTTCAATCTGTAACCTTATATAGTGCATGAAAAGATGGCTTTTATGCAAAAATGAGATGATTGTTCAAATGGACCAAAAAGAAAATGAGAGTAGATGGCAAAGATAATTTCTCTGAGGAATTCATTGGCTCTGTTTTGTTTGGGTTTTTTTTTTTAATGTCTAAATGCTTGTTATAGGAGATACTTTGTGGCAAAATTCTAAAGTAGCCATTTAAAACATGGGCTTCTGTGCTAGAGTACCTAAAAGCTTCTGTTCTTAAGTGTTTCAACACTGCTGTGCTCCACATGCCATCCTGTCTATGTTTAAAAAATCTCTTTATTCTAGTGTGCTGTATGACTGCTGTTCCTCTATATGCCTGTTAGTATAACGCAACAAATGTTTATTTACAAAGAAATTTCTATCAAAGACCAAATAAAATAGTCTAAATCTGGGTCAGTATTTCACTTTGAGTATGCGAGCGGGATTGATTTCAGACAATATCTGATGAATCACCAAGACTGCGACTGTTTAATCTGCTTATACAAGGCAGTATTTCTCATCCCTTCCATTGTACCCTACCCAGTGCCATGGCAGCTGTTTGTAAATATAGATCCCACCAGCAGAGTTGGCGTTGGCATGGACCGAAGGGACCAGCGTGGGACCCGGTATGAAGTGTGGTGTACGGTGGATGCTCCGTACAGGGCCGCAGACAGATGGAGGCTCTGTCGAACAGGCAGGTTCATCTCTGCAGGGCTGCCGTGGATAAAGTGTGGTGTGCTGTCACATGTAGTCACTTACGCTTCGGTGGTTCATGCCCACCATCTTCCTCTCTCTCTCTGACTTCCTTTGTCATTTTCATCCTTCCGTTACCAGAATTATACATTTATGAATAATCCTAATTTATGAAATTAGGATGACGAGTAAAAAATTCATAAAAATGGAAAAAGCCTAGATATGAATTCACGCTGTCATATTAATGCTCCCAAAGAAGAATATCTTATAAAATTAACCTCAAGTCCTAGGCAGGAAATGATGGCCTTTCTAAATAAATCTCAGAAAACACAATGAAATCTTGCAGTGTTCACGCAAATGTTACAATGTTTTTCTTTTTTATACTTTACACCTAAGTGCCACTGTACTGATTGGTTCACTCTTCAGCCACGTAGAGTGGGTAACCTCCGTTGTGCCCCGAGCCCCACAAGGACCTGCAAATACAACAAGCTTCAAAGCCATTGGCAGTTTATTTACTTCAAGATTTGCTCCACTTTAATACAACCGTATCTGACAGGGTGTGGCATTCCTGTGATCTGACCTCAGAGGGTCCTATGTAGAAATCTAAGTATGAGATTATTTAAGATTAGTTTACACTTATATTGTCTAATTAATTTGTGATTAAGGAAACTGACCAAAAGAAAAAAGAAAAAGGAAAAATGAATCTGGGGCAATAAGAGCCCTTTTCTGTCCCAGTGCCCTGAAAACTGCATACATAACAGACTGAAAGCTAGTGATTATATTTTGATGTTAGGCCACTAGAGGGCACCAAAGCCTAATTAAAAAACGGAATCGCTTATGGAAGCGCCAGACCATTACATTAATACCCAGAGGAAGCTAATATTAATGTTCCAGGTGTACTAGTAACCTTGGGAAATATATAATACGCCCTCGTCGTCTGGTTATATATATCTAGAAACTAATAGACCGATATGACAACAGGTCTTCATTCATTTAATGATGTAGGCTGATTTCTGGGCTATGGCCAGTGTAATAAACCGCTGAAAAAAATTATGGTGTGCCATTCAGAAACAGGTCTTTTGGCCGTGTAGTCCATGAACACTTCAGTTTATTAAAACGATATCTATTTTTTTCCAGCCAGCTCTAAAACTGCTGCGCTTCCTATTTCGAGCATCTACAACAGCGAGACAGCAATGTTGAAGATCACCGAGCCAAGCGATCCCAACTAGGCCGCATTTAGTGTTACTTCAACCAAACTATGACTCTCATCCCGCTCGGTAGCGACAGTACGTCTGATGGACAGCTAGTCGAGCCAATGAAATTGCCGTATGCTGCCGGCTTGGGAGGAGGCTAACCAATGATCGCTTCACGGCACCAGAGGGGCACGCTTTCTGAGCTTTCTCTGGCAAGAATGTTAGTTCCTGCTCTCTCCTGGCCGTTTCCTGTAATCGTACAGTGTTGTGAGACTCAGAAAGCCATGTGTGTCGACGCAAAGGTAAATTTAGCACCCTGAAATTATTACTGTGAGAGTTGGGGCAGTAGATATGATGGTTATTTTCACGTATTTTTGCCGAAAATAGACGCAGGCCAGCCGAAACAGCAATGCGGCCTAACCTGTGTCTGAACGTTGACGGGCAATGGTTATTGTGGCACGTTGCTTTGGTTTGGTCCGGTTTGTTGACGATATTGAAGGAGTCCGGTGGACTGAATGGTTGATAGTAAATGACTGGAAAGCGAACTAACGGCGAAGAGGACACAATTCATCGTGTTTTTGAGTCTAAATGTGTTTACGGTGCCACACACGCCTTTGTAACAGGCACATTTTTGTAGCGGTAGAAGCTAATGCTAGCCGACGGTTTTGAGAGAAAGACTGCAATACGACCTGAGAGGAAAGCATCCCGTCTTTCCAGCATCACTGACCTAATCGTATGACTTCACTGCTCGTTATTTTCATTCACTAAATGTTATCCGCGTACTTTCTCTTTATATGTTAACACTTAAGCCGACGAGCACTGTTTTTGTGTGTTTTCAAAGCTTTTAATTTCACTTTGAAAGCGTTTCTGGACGGTGTGGCCACGAGTTGGAGGATGGATTCAAAAACTATACTTGTTTTGTCTCTAGTTTACAAGCTGCTACATCCTTCTAACATTATTTTATTTTTTATGCGGCCCATTAACTGTATTAACCGGATAATTTCCACCACAGCCACTAAGATAAATAAAAGCTTGTTTACATAAAGTGATCATTGTTTTAGTAAACTGTTCATGTCCTGTTAACCCTTAAGACATTTCCACTGATTATGATCTTCATAGCCACCAGCAAACCAAAATAAAAAGTACAGTGATTATATTTCTTTGCTTCTCCCTTCCTTTACTTAAGGACTCTTGTACTAACCATTAGAGCTGTCACTTCACAGTTTGATGTCCAGGTCTGAGAGACGTTATGCTGTAATAGTGCAGCATTTCTTTGAACAAAGTCAGTAAGAAAATTGTGTCTAACTGTTGTTTCCTTTCCCTTCACAGCTGATTATCTAAAAATTGAGAAGATCTGGATAACAACTATTTAGCTTCCATCTCGGAGTCTTTTTAACATTGTGCCCATCTCCCTGTGTGGAGTGGGCAAGATGGCAGATCCCATTATGGACCTCTTTGAGGACACACCCCTGTTTAACTTGGATGCCCTACCGGACGACTCCTTTTCTCAGGGGTCCTCGGACCCGGTTGAGGAAGCGTTCAAGCTCGCTCTGGGCCAGGTGGATCCACCACCAGAGTCTGAGCCTGCTCCTGAGCTCGCGTCTAACATGAGCCTCTGTGTTCCTGTAGAAGCTCCAGCCGTTCCGGATCCAGCCCCTGTTCAAGTCCCCACACAGCAGCCAGTGCAAGTGGCAACTCCTCAGACCATTTCCATAGCTGTAGCGCCTCCTGTGACCCCTGCCCCTACTCCTACTGATACTGTGAATCAGATACAGGCCCAGACCACCATACCAATTGCCAGCAATGCCAGTGGGGTCACCAGTAGCACTGTCCTGTTGAGCTCACCTCTGACTGTTTCTAGCTCTCCAGCTACAACCACCGCCACCACCCAGCTCACACAGATAACCCACCAGCTTACTCCCCAGCAGTTAGCTGCCATTACACAACAGGCTGGTGGCAAAATTGTCATTCTCAAAGGTCCCCAGGGTCAAGCACAGGTGCTACAGACTGTATCAGGAGCCACGGGTCAGACTGGTGGAAAGGTCATCCGTGTAGTGTCTGGCACACCACTCAAACCTGGCATGTCCATCCTGCAGGGCGGAACAGTATTGAATCAGGCAGGCCCAGGACAAACACAAGTGAAGGTGGGTGGTGCAGGCGTGCAGAGGCTGCTGCAGTCTCCTAATGGACCAGTGAAACAGGTGTTGCTCACGTCCATGCCCCAGCAGGTGCAGCAGACACAAGGCCAGCCAGTTCAAGTGCAGATTCCAGCAACAGCACAGATAACTCAACCCCAGGCTGCCCAGATCCAGGTCCAGGCACAGGGCCAAGTGCAGCTCCAAAACCAAGCTGCTCAGATCCAAGTTCAACCCCAGGCAGCTCAGATCCAGGTCCAGGCACAGGGCCAAGTGCAGCTCCAGCCAGCTATGCAGACGCAGGTAAGCAGACCACAAAGTGTCAGCAGGTGACATTTGTTATACCATCAGGATAACTGCTGATTTCATGTTTTTTAATTAGTTCAGTTATAAATGTCCTTCTGCATTTCTCATTCTAGGGTGGAGAAGCAAAACGCATCACCTTGGTTCTTCAGCAGCCATCCCAGGCTGGCTCTGCAACTCAAGCAGGTCAAACTCTTGCAGCCCAACAGCAGGTCACCCAAGTCCAGCAGGTTCAGACGGCACAAGGAGGCCAACCTCAGCAGACCCAGGCCCCAGCTAAACTGGTTCTGGGGCAGCTCCCCGGGGGAAAACTGGTGCTCCAGGGGAGCCAGCTAGCAGCCCTGACCCAGGCACGAGCAGCAGGCCAGGCTGGAGGGCAGCCCAAAGTTCTCACAATTCAGCTACAGGTGCAACAACAGCCCAATCAGCAAGGTGGTGTAAAGGTGAGAAACGAGTGCTGTAGGAGTTAGAGGTCTCGGCTTGTTTAACAGTGTTAATAAGTTACGATGAGTTTTGATGGCATGTTTTTGGGAAAATCATTCAAATTGCTCTTAATTTCTGTTGTTTCAAGTAAGTGGGGCCTTGAAAGTCTTGTTGTTGTTGTTGTTGTTGTTGTTGTTGTTCCCTTGTCAATCATCTTGAATACTGGTCTGCTTTTAATTTCCACCATTCGCAAGTACTATAGTTCTGAAATCTGTGAAAGTTTGCTCCTCCTCAGAGGTGTCACTGTGTAACTAATATTTTAGTTCAACATGTGTACCAGAGTACACAGTGCTTCAGATGTACAAATGTAATATTCTGTGTAATATGAGGTGACATGGCAAAACACCTTGGCTTTGGCAATGTCTTTTAGCCAGGACAGATCAGACCAGATTAATCACCATCTTGGCTCCACTGAGCGGTATCAGTTAGTATTCAGAGGTAGTTTCTCTGATCAGCTGAAGAGCATTGATTGTTTTGAAACGCACTTTGTGGTATGTGATGTGGAAGGACTGGCAAGCTTGGAGATAAAGGACGGTGCATTTTAAATATATTGACATTCTCCCCGTGCCTTTGTTACGTGATATTTAATGGCTTCAGGTTGAAAAACCAGCAAATTTA